TTGAAGTATGTTTTAATAGAAGCTGCTTCAAGATGTAACTATTGTTATCTGTGACAACTCTGACATATATGGTAATACAGCAGACATACGCTAGAATGTGGTCGGTTTTACGCGTTCACAATGACGTAAGCGCGGGAACTGAAGCACAGAATAAATAATTGTAATCGAAGTTCGTTGTCGTGCAAAACTTTCTTGTCGTGGTGGAGCTCCGGCGGCCAGGTATTTACTGTCACAGAGCCTACGTGCTCTTTAAAACAAAGATTGATATGGCTGCAGCACGAATGCCGTGATCCGGAGACTATTTTTACTGGTGACGAAGCATTACATCTATTAATAAGTATCTACATTTTAATTCTTAATCCAGGATAGTTTTAGGTGTCTATGAGCTACGGCACCCATTATCCAATTAGCATGAGGGTTACAATATGGGTTTTTGCAATATTTACCCCGTATGAGATTGAAAACCATAGCGCACGATGTAGTAGCCAGGTACACTGACCGCTACGCCACGCGGTGGTCATAACCATCGCAATATGAGAACGCCGTAGACTTAAATCATTATGTAATTATTTTGTAATTTAAGCACGTAGCAATCCATCTGTTATCAAGAGTATAAAGAAATCAGTATAGCTGGAATCAATACTTAACCTCACGTTTAGTATTTTAGTCACGCTATACTTTAATTAACATCTATATTACGTAACTGTTTACTATGTAACTTATGAAAGAAATATCTATCACCATATGTACTCTTAAAAAATTTGCGACTCAAATAGGTTTTGTGAGCCTGTTGTTGTCTCAACCTATTTTGGATACTGATAGCTTCCAAGTAGTGGGCACAATAATATGGTGGCACCGTAAGTTAACAAAGCTAACTACGGCAACCGAATACAACAAGCAGGAGTGTTACCAGGCCACGAGTTTATGAACATCAGCGTCTTCAAATAGGATGACTGGGGGATCACACCGCCGGCTTTCCCGCATTGTGTGTACCCTATGCCCGATATCCCTGAACAAGTCAAATGGACTTGACGGAATCCCCCCAGTTGTCGTTGTGAGGACGTGTGCTCCGGAGATGGCACTGGTTCTTACTCGTCTTTTCTGGTACTCGCTAGTTCTTAAGCTTTTGTGAACCCAATCACTAAAAAGTTTATCCCTCGGATCCGTCTTACCGCAGGCATATCGCCATAACCTTTTGTTCTCTAAAACAGTGGAATCAATTACTTACCGCCAGCTCATGGAGTAACTTGAGGAACACCAAATGTTTAGTGATCCCCAGTACGGTTTCCGTCGGAGTCGCTCAACTGATGTTACCGCTGCTGGAGGTCAGTTTAGACAAAGCGAAGGGTTTCCATCGGGTTTGATAGAAAGAGTTTCTTTGAAGCTTCCCTGTTTCTGTGGCTTTCCACAGATCGGAGTATCAAGGTAGTCGATGGTGCATGTTCGGACACAAAACTTGAATGTTGGTATACCACCACAAGGCTATGTGCTATCACCTACCCTGTTCCTTTGCATATCAACAATATTATGTTGCATAGTAGTAACATTCTTTGCTATGCATATGACAGCACTGGCGATGCTCCGGCCATGCCAGTATTTCTCGGGAACACGTCGAATGCCGGAACAAACTTGTGTCTGAAGTACGAGATTTTGTTAAACAGTCTTGGATTGGGGGTGACTAAATCTAGTCCAATTTGGCATGTTTCCTCAGATACGAGGGTGGATTGATAAGTTTCCGACCTGACTAAGAAAAACAAGGTTATTTAAAAAAAAATTATTTATCAACATAATCTCCTCCAAGGCTGATACATTTCTCATAGCGGTGTTCCAGTCTATTAATGCCATCTCTATAGACTGATTCGTCAAGCTCCTCAAAATAACCATTTACAGCTTCGATTACTTCTTCAAATCCGCAAATCTCTTACCGCCAAACCATTTTTTGAGGTTAGGGAACAGAAAATAGTCACTCGGGGCGTCGGGGCTAGGTCTGGGGAGTAAGGAGGGTGCGGCATCAATTCAAACTTTAGATCGTTGATTTTAACCGTCGCAACGATTAACGTGTGTGCTGGTGCGTTATCGTGATGAAACGAGATCTTTTTCTTCGCCAGATGAGGTCGTTTAATTTTCACCTCGTGGCTCAAACGTTGCAATAAGTCTGCGTAGTATTGACCAGTGATAGTTTTACCCTTTTCAAGGTAATCAATGTACATCCCAATAAACAGTAGCCATAACCTTGTTCGCCGAAAAAATTGTTTTTGCCTTCTTTGGAGTTGGTTCCCCTGGTCCAATCCACTGTTTAGACTGTTCTTTGGTTTCAGGAGTGTAGTGGTGGACCCAAGTTTCGTCAACGGTTACGAATCGATGCAAAAATTCGCTTGGATTACGCTTATACAATTACAAATTTGCGGTAGAAATGTTTTTTCGAATCAATTTTTGGTCGACTGTTAGCAAACGCGGCACCCATCTTGCACAGAGCTTTTCCATATGCAAATGTTAGTGCAAAATATGTTACACACGTTCATATGACATCTTACAGGTCTCAGCTATCTCACGCACTTTCAATCTGCGGTCTCCCAGCACTATTTGATAAATTTTTTCGATCATATCTGGAGTTGTGACCTCAACGGGGCGTCCTGAGCGAGGCTCATCAGAGGTGCTCACACGACCCTTTTTAAACTCGGAAACCCACTTATTAACGGTTGAATATGACGGGGAGGATGTCCCCAGTGTTGAGTCCATCTCTTCTTTAATTTCCTTCGGCGTTAACCCCTTCAAATAAAAGTATTTGATGACAGCACGATTTTCCTGCTTTTCCATTTTTACGAAAAACACAGAGGCGTCTTGTTCAGCGTGCTCTCAAATCTACACTAGCAAGGTGATCGGGCTGAAACTATAGCTACAAGCTATCCAAGGATGGTACTATAGAATGTCACCTTAAGGTAGGCCTAGTGGCGCCATCTCTTGGTCAGGCCGGAAACTTATCAATCCACCCTCGTAGCATCGGAATCCCTCTGTTAGGATATAGAGTGACGTTAAGTTCCGCGGTCAATTAAAAGGGAACGCCAAATTGGCCTCTAAAAAGAGGTTTTACGTGGTAGAGCCACGCTGCTGCTATATTATAGCTGCAACACGAATGGGTAGGACCATGCTCTCACAGAATACTGGCGTCAAATAGCAGCTTAATTCTGCTGTGTTTCGTATGGTGAGTGTAGAGAACCGGATACCCTTGTCACTGGTAATAAGGCATTGATTTGACCTTTAAGAAAAGAGCCTACTCTATTTTAAAAGGTCGGTAATGCACCTGCAATTCCCCGCGTGTGGCAGTTGTTGATAGGCTGCGGTAGTCATTTACCATCTAGTGAGCTGCATGCTCGTTTGCCTCCATTTTTATTAAAAAACTAGCTGTCTCTCGCGACTTCGCCCGCGTTGAATTTACTACGATTTCATGGGTTTTATTTTTTTACGCGGACCCTTAATTCTTTTTCCAAAATAAAAGTAGCCTAAATTACTTCATATAACATCAGCTATCTGTCAGTGAATGTCCAGTCAAAATAGGTCCAGCCGTTTCGGAGATTAGCCGGAACAAACAACACGGCCTTCAAAGCTAATAAACAAGGTAGATCCCCTTTATATACTTAAGCACCCTGCAAAACATCCTCTATATCTTCATCGAGTAAGTTATGGGACAGCAACTTTTGCAGCTTTCCTATTCTTTGCAGCTGAGCTCTGGGAAGGCTAAAGGACATTTCATTTAATAAATAATCAAGAAAAGGAATATACAAAGTCGGTAATATTTTTCAACAGAATCTGTTTGAACTTTGAATGTTCGATTTATTTGTTTGATGGCCGGTTATTCTACATAACCGTGACTTCGGTTCCAATTTCGTTATTCGAATTTCGAGGACCTCAGCTTTATTAAAAAGTTTTTTTAAATGTGTCCGCGCTAGTATCACGTTGCATCTGTAAAGTGGCTGTGGTCATATCGACAGGCTGAGTTGCAGAAAGTACATCAACTTCAATGGCATGTAAGGATCGAGATAAAGGAAGTGTGATTCCCAATATATCTGCGAGGATTACCAAGCTCACAAGGAATTCCGAAAACATTATAGCTTAGAACAGCGAAACCACAGGTGTAGCACGCCTGTCCTTTTAATCAGCCATTGTTTGTAGTTGTAGTTTTGCAACTCCGAGAAAACATGGCAAAACTTCCAAAAATGTTAGAACCGCTCCATGTCATTTTACTCATCTACAACGTATTAAAGGCGATTGTGACCTTCCACCTACAGACTTCTACTTTTTCCAGAATTTGGATAACTTTACGGTGGGAAAAAAATTCAATACCCGAGAGGCAGTACAAAACGCCTTTGAAGAATTTGTTGCCCGCCACTGCCACTGTGTTGGCAAAGATGCATCAATTGCATAGGTGATTGCTTTAATAAAAATAAAAAGTTATGTTAATTTATTCCATAAAAAACGAATATTTCATAGGTAAAGATGTGGAAGTGGTTTTTCCTTTGTCACTTGAGCTTCGATTTCTTCTCTGAGAAGATGAATTTGTTTAGCTGGCTCACGAAAGAAGGTAGGTGAGATAACCCCCACAGCATTTCTTATGTTGGGTACGGTGCATGCTGTACTAATAGCTAAGTTGAGTCGGTGGCTAGTACAATAGGTGAAAAAAGCTAAAGGCTGAATATTGGTTATGTGCGCCTGTACACCTTTTATTTTTTACTCATGTTAGTTCTTATATGTTGCTCAAATGTTATCAAAGCAATGTCGTTTTAATCTACCAGTTATTTGTTTTATTTAAACCGTGTAGGCTGGGGGGGTGGGGCGGGGGGCACGTGCCTTTGTGCTACACCCCACTGGATCCGTCTTCGGTTCTACTTTTTTTTTTTTTTTTTACAATATAACGTAATATTTCTCCGAGGTTATATTTTATAGGTCTGTTTATATTTTATAATAATCTAAGAAAGTTATTTAATTTTTAATTATTTCCTTAGTACATAGAACTGGCCCGCAGTTCGAGGCACTACGGTCGGGTGCCGGCGGGCGAGGCAGTAACGGATACGCGTCACGTGACCGACGGAGCGACAAGTGGGCCGTGTCGCGTTCGTGTATCGCTCGCTTCCAAGGAGCTCACGCTAACCAGCGTTGGCCAGCCCTCGCGGGAGCAACGCTACAAAGTTACGAGGATGAGGTGCTGGAGGATAACCACGCTGCACACTGTAAGTATTATTATTATTATTATAAGGTTGGGATGTTTATACATAATACATAAACACTCACGTCTGTCACCAGAGGGGTAGGCAGAGACTACGGACTTCCGTTTAGCACGATCCTGACACACATCTCTCGCCTCCTTTACATCCATATATCTACGCATACACGCTCGTCGGTTAAGGGTACTCATAATCTGGCCCATTTTTAATATATATCGCCAATTTGGTCGATAAACCTTCGTCTAGGGCGTTTCTTTCCGACTCTGCCGTTTCAGATTCAGCCCTAGCATACTCCTTAATGACCACATTTCTACAGCATTTATTCTACTCTCGTGCTTCTTCTGCCAGACCCAACTTTCACTACCATACATTAAAGTGGGGACTAACACAGCATTATGAATTGCCTTACGTGCCTTTTTTGACTCATTCTGACTTTTCATAATAGCGTGTAGAGCCCCATTCACTCTATTTCCTGCGTTTACTCGTTCTATATCCTTATCATATCTACCATCCCTACTAAATACACATCCCAAATATAGAAACTCATCCACTTGCTCATTCAACTCCCCCTCTGTTTTTATTTCACATAACGTATTATTTTTTTCTCTTTCAAAAACCATCACTTTCGTCTTACTTGCGTTCACTTTCATACCCCTTTCTTTTTATTACCAGTTCATTGATGTAACCATCATTTGCAATTCGGCCGCCGACGACGCAAATATGACTTGATCATCGGCGTGCAAAAGACATTTTACGCTTAACTCACCCATTCTTAACCCATATTCTTCAACTTTCAAAGTTTCCAAACAACTGTCCATAAGTAGGTTAAACATCGCCGGGAAGCCACACAGCCCTTTTTGGATGCCAAACCAGTCTGAGTAGACCCTGTTGATCCTGACACAAGCACTAGAGTCCCTATAAGTAGACCTTAATGCCTGTATTAAACCAGGGCTCAACCCAAATGAGTTAAGTGTTTGCCATAACACTTTCCTGTCCACTCTGTCATAAGCCTTTCCCAAGTCCATGACCTACAAGGCTGTCTCGACGTCGTCGCTAAAAATTTGATATTTTATCAGTATTCCTCGTAATAATTTATTTTTCTTTACAAAAATACAAACTAATTACTACTTTACAAAACTAGTTGCGTTACTCAGCTTCTTCTGATTCGTTGTGATGGAAATAAAGACTTGCGTTGGTACGTACTTACCTAATTTTACTATATTTTACTATATTTTACCTATATAACAGTATCTCATGTCATTATCATCATTACAGCCTTTCATAAGTCCACTGCTGAACAATAGGCCTCCCCCAAGGAATGTCACAAAGCACTGTCCTGAGCCACCTGTATACATCGACTTCCTACATGTCTTACCAGGTCGTCACTCCATCTCGTGGGGGGTCGCCCTACACTTCGCTTACCGGTACGAGGCTGCCACTCAAGAACCTTTCTTCCCCATCGGTTGTTGGTTCTTCGAGCTATATGGCCGGCCCACTGCCACTTCAGCTTACTAATCCATTGGGCTATGTCGGTTAACTAGAGTGACCGACATAGCCCAACGGATTAGTAAGCTGAAGTGGCAATGGGCCGGCCATATAGCTCGAAGAACCGACAACCGATGGGGAAGAAAGGTTCTCGAGTGGCAGCCTCGTACCGGCAGGCGAAGTGTAGGGCGTCCCCCCACTAGATGTAGTGACGACCTGGTAAGATATGCAGGAAGTCGATGGATGCAGGTGGCTCAGGACCGTGCTTTGTGGCATTCTTTGGGGGAGGCCTATGTTCAGCAGTGGACTTGTGAAGGGCTGTAATGATGATGATGATGTCGGTTACTCTGGTTCTACTGCGGATATACTCATTTCTAAGTTTATCACGCAGAGAAACCCCGAGCATAGCCATAGCTCGCTGAGTGAGCCTTGAGCTTCCTCATACGGCCAGCAGTGAAAGACCACGTCTCAGATCCGTAAGTCATGACTGGCAACACGCACTGGTTGTACAATTTCGTTTTAAGGTTTTGAGGTATGTCTGACAAGAAGATGTGTCGTAGTTTCCCGGACTCTGCCCAGCCGAGTTGAATCCGTCGATTGACCTCTCGGTCGAAGTTGGACTTACCTAGTGAGACTATTTGTCCCAGGTAAACATACTCGTCTACAACTTCGAGCTTAGTGCTCCCAACAACTACCGGCATAGGTTTGACATGGACATTAAACATGATCTTTGTTTTGTCCATGTTCATCCTAAGACCTATTCGTTGGGAGACACTATTGAGGTCATTGAGCATGGTGCTTAGGTCCTACAGCGATTCTGCCATAAGGACTATATCGTCGGCAAATCAAAGGTGAGTGATGTACTCGCCATTGATGTTAATACCGTATCCTTTCCAGTCCAGAAGCTTGAAAACGTCTTCCAATGCAGCGGTGAAGAGTTTCGGGGATATAACATCACTCTGTCTTACACCTCTCTGCAATTGGATAGGTTTCGTACTCTGGTTCTGTACTCGGATAGCCATCGTAGCTCTACTGTACAAACACTTCAGCACTTCGATATACCGACAGTCAACTTGGCACCGCTGAAGGGACTGCAGCTCCGCCCAAATTTCGACGGAATCAAAGGCTTTCTCGTAGTCCACATACGCCAGACATAGTGGCAAATTGTACTCTTCGGACTTCTGTACAATTTGCCGAAGGGTATGTATGTGGTCTATGGTGCTAAAGCCCTTTCGGAAACCGGCTTGTTCGGGAGGCTGTAAGTCGTCAAGTCTGCGCGCGAGACGATTCGTAATGACTCTCGAAAAGAGCACGTAGACGCGGCTCAGAAGGGAAATCGGTCTGTAGTTCTTCAAGAGAGCGTTGTCACCTTTCTTGAAGAACAAGACCACCGCACTTCTGCTCCACGCCTCCGGTGTAATGCCACCAAGGAGGACGGAATTAAAGAGCTTCTGAAGGACAAGTACCGGTCTTTCACCCGCTTTCAGAAGCTCCGCTGTAATTCCATCCTCGCCTGGGGCCTTGCCGTTTTTAAGGTGCTGGAGAGCCATTCTAATCTCGCTCAGACTGAGGTCCGGGATATCTTCGGAATAGTGTCGGATAAGACTCGCTCTTGGATCGTTACTCACACTTGCGTGTGGCTCCAACGATGACGTGTACAGCTGCTCATAGAACCTCTTAATCTCACTCAAAATCTCAGGTGTCCCGGATACGATGCTGCCACACTCGGTCTTCAGCTTTGACAGGTGGCTCTTTCTGGCAGATAGATTTCTGGCAAAGACTTTGGAGTCTTGGTTCCGCTCGATCGCTTCTTCAATACAAGCTGTATTGAAGTTGCGTAAGTCCCGCCGTATGCATTTGGAGATCTGTCTGTTCAGTTGCCTGTATACTGTCAAATCTGTTGAAGAATGTAGCTTCATCTCCCGTCTAACAGCCATGAGATTGAGAGTGTGATCGGAGAGTTTTTGTGTTTTTCTGCGGCGGGTCTTTCAGAACTTAGCTCCGACCGCATGGACAGTTTCCACGAGCTTGTCATTCATATCGTCCACTTCATTACAGTCTTCTAGACACTGAAAACGGTTTTGTAACTCGAGCTTAAAGGTTTCGGGACTTTGGAACAAAGCACGAGGGGGACGGAGCGTTGACTTCATTAGACGAGACCTCTCCAACTTAACGTTTAGGTTCAGTGTGCCTCTGACCATTCGGTGGTCGCTACCAGTTTTCACCCTCGCTATTACGGAGACATCACTGAACAGTTGTCGTCTGGTCGTCATAATGAACTCAATCTCATGTTTTGTGGAACCGTCGGGGCTCGACCAGGTCCACTTCCTGTGGGGCCGCTTCTAGAAAGAAGAGTTCATCATAAAGAGTCCCTCTTTCTCCATGAAGTCGGCCAGCTGCTGGCCCCTTGGGTTCCGTTGCCCTATTCTAAATTTCCCTACTTTCAGCTCAATGTTCTCTCTTGTGCCTAGTTTTGCATTGAAGTCTCCCATTAACACCGTATATTGAGTTATGGAGGAATGCATGGCTCTAGAGATATGGGATATGGGGTGTGCCGAGGTCGGTGCGTAAACCTGTATGACCTTCAGCTAATACCGTTTGGTGATTCTGAGTATAAGGTACGCAACCCTCGTCGATTCACTCTCAGTCTTTACAACGTTGTTAACGAGAGACTTGTGGACGATAAATCCGACACCTCCTTGGGACAGATGGTCGCCCTCCCGGTGATAGAGCAAGTTCCCGGATTAGAGGATTACCGTGTCCTCCCCCTCTCTTCGGACTTTGGATAATCCTATAATATGCCAGCGTAATTTGTCTATCTCTTCTTCCAGCTCCACGATCTTCTCGTCAGTCCTCAGGGTGCGTGCGTTGTATGTTGCCAGGTCGAGTCGTCTTAGGTGGCAACCGAACCTCCACCGGAGATTCTTAGCACCCCCTGCCCCGCCGTTACCATGGTCGCCACCGTAGCTAGGAATAGCGGGGCCGCAGGGGAATGGGGGCCGTTTCTTTGTTACTCTCGTCATAGGGGGGGTATTTGCCATAGTTGCCACATTTGGCGAGCGGGTTGGCATATAACAGTATCTCAGGTATTCAGCTTAAAATATTTGATAGGGGGTTGAACAGAATGAATAAAAGAGGTTTAAATTATACATTGGTTCTGTTTATTCAACCGCCTCGTTACAGATGTCAACCGACAAATATTTACGATATTTATTATTGGGTTTTTTTTAATTGTCTTTTGTTGAATTTAATGATATAATGAATTCTCATCCTTACATGGACTTCAATTAAAGATCGTGATAACAGCAATCCCATGGTTATTAGAATTCAATTTTACTTAAAGCGTCATACAATCTTTCCCAATATTTCAAAATAATATCGAGTAATATCATGTTGCTACGTGGACACCAAAAACGTGCAACTGATTCCGTGTCTGGACAACCACAGACTAATATGATGCTTACACATTGTGATTACTTACATATTATGGTGACACTCCTAAACAGGCGTACCGGTACGCAAGCGAAGCCTACCGGTACTACCGTAAACGTTGCTGGCAGGGAGGGGGGGGAACTCCGCTCTCCTTCATATCGCGCCTTATCGTTGCTCCGCCTAGTAGCCGAGTTGACTCACTTTTAGTATTTATTACACATTATGCCAGTATTATGTTGGCCTCTAGTGTCAGTTACGATCAGGTGAATCGTAAAGTTTGCTTGTCACATTCACATCACGTTTTTGCTACAGCCTGTTTAAATCTTATCTGACGTTTCCAAGAATGCACCAGTTGCAGGCATTTTTTTAAAGGAGCCTACTGTTGTAGTTATCATTGTGATAACTACAACAGTGGCAATATGATGACCCTTATATTTTTATGTTGACATAAAAACAAAAGCGTATATTGAAACTTACTAAGAATTTCACATTTATATGTTTATTTGGATGTCTGTTCTTAAATTATGCTTGAACTGCGTGACTTGTTGATTCTTATGATTTTTTTACTCGTGTAAGAGAATATTATATCGTGGAATAGCACATGAGTGTACTTTTTATATATCACTAGCTGGCCAGGCAGACGTTGTTCTGCCCTCTCCGACGACCCTTTGTCCTATAAAAATTTATAAGTTCGTAATAAAAAATATTGAGGGTCACTTATATAGATAAAAACTATCCTATCTCTCGAGTTGGACCAAACTGCACACAGTGTGCAAAATTTCATTGAAATCAGTTCAGTAGTTTAGCGAGTTCATCGCGGACAAACAACGTGACACGTAATTTTTATATATATAAAGATAATATGTGTATAAATAAATTACGCCCATCGATGCGGGCATTCATACCCGTTTTAAATTTTCTTCACTTCACTCTATACTGAGGATGAGACGTATACACTATACTATACATCCGACATTATTATAAAAACATTACATTGGCCCTGAATAGGTTGAGACAGTGAGTGCTTCGTTATCCACCTTATACTGTAATTTGGCACAGCTTACAATTTTCGACAGTGATGTACTTGGCAAATTCGACAGGGAACATGCAAATCGCAATATTTTTGTTTATCGCTTAGTATTAAATAAGTAAACACTTAAATTGCAAGTATAAATTACGTCATCATACTCGGGTTGCTCAACAAGCAAAAATTTACTTACAAGGCCATACAATCCCCTTTTGCTTGTCTAATTGATTGAGAGTTTTACTTTTCTTTTTACCCGACTGACCTAGAAATGAGCTAATATTTTTCGTGTGTATGTATGTATTTTTGTATGTATATTTCTTTGGCTTTGTAGCCTAATTGGCTTGATGAATTTTAACATAATATGACGTGTCGTTAGATTTGTCTTAGTTGTGGAAGTGACATGGATATAGAATTTTTATATCCATGTCACCTCTATATATATATATAAATATATTTTTTTCAAATTACTGTTTTCATCATTGGGCTTGAATGTAGTGATTGATTTCAAGGTGCTTATACCTACTAATATATAAAAGAGTGTAATATCAAAACGTCTTACATAGTAGAGATGAATTGTCAAATTACTGAACTATTTTATGATTAATGTTATAATTATGTATTAAAAGGTGGTATTACCTCACTAATCAAGAATTACCTTTACAAGTACGGCCTACTACTTAGTCACTGTTGAATGTGCGTTCGGCTGCAAGTTTTAAAAAAATTGAAGATCGCGAGAACTTTGTTAGCCTCCTGACGGTTCTATTTCTTACTGTTCTGTGGTCATCAGTTATTGTAATCGGACAACTAAATAATTCTTACTTCAGTTCCTTATTACAAAAAAAGAGTATCTTTCAAAATTTCAAAACTCTTAAGGGAAACTGTTGTTATCCTATCGACACACGAACGACTTCTCTTAAAAGAATAACGGGTCGTATGGGCATCTTACTGATTTAATCATTCACAAGTGGTTTGAGTGGTCTCCTTCCGGTACTTTTGATTATGTTGTCTGTGAATTCGATTTATTTTTAAATAAGTTATTAGAAATGAATTAGTATATTATAATATGAGTACAATATATTACAAATACTTTGTTAAAAATCTCCCTAAAACAGTTTTTCTTTTATTTGATAACGTTATCCCATACATAAACACACTGGAATTTTTCCTATTTTGTGCAGGTGCATTTTACATATTAAGTATATAAATTGCACATGAAAGCATATTCAGACCCAGGACAATTGTTTTTTGGCCACAGAAATACTCAATATGTGCGCGATTCGAACCCACGACCAATTAGCTACTGTGCTATATGGAGCTGACCTGCTGGCGAAGCTACGTACTTCTATACGTATTGTGGTTATCTAAAAAGTCGATCTTAAAGGTTTAGTAGTTACCTTAATGTGGGTGTCATCACGGCAATAGTGATTAGACTGTTGTTAGGTCATTGCGATTATTTGTATTATTTGTATAGGTTGAATTTATAGGTTGTAATTTTTTTATCTGAAATTATTTTTTTTACAGACGGACAGACACCAAACAAACGGCCACGGATCTTTATTAGAAGAGTCCAACAAACACTTCGAGCTCTCTTTCGAATATCTCATTAGTAAAGACAACCTGGAGTGGATAACGCTGCAGACGGAACACGCGATATTTATTAGTGTTTGTTTGCAGGTGAGTTCTTATTGTCCACTATTAAACGGCTTTTATGTTGCTCAATGGGCTGCTGCAGCAAAAAGCCGAAAGGTTTGCTGAGAAGCTTATTGGTGACACCGACATGGTTAGAACCAATCTTAGCAGCCTCGAGCACAGGCGCAATGTAGCTAGCCATTCGGTTTTTTAACAGGATAAATTTCGGAGAGAATGCGCAGGAATTGCATGACTTTTCGTCCCTCTCCATTCCATCATCGGGACCATCAGACGTTCTCTTGCTAGACACCTCTTTGTTGTCGACATACCACGCATTCGAACCAAAAGGTTTGCTTCGTCGTTCTAAATGCGTACAGAAAAGGAGGTAATAATTTGCCAGGATCGGTCTTTCCATCCGATTATAATGTGTGTCTTCAAGGCAAGAGTTAATAGGCTTTTGTTAAGCTACTCGTAATTTAGTACGATTTACATCTTCGGCTGCATTAACACTTACCATCGTGTGAAGTAGTTGAACATAGGCTCGTAATAGAAAAAAAAATACTATAGTTAACTAACTGATATCAAAGTTTAGCATGCGGAGAATAATATTTAGGCAAGATTTGCTCAAGAAGCACTAAGAAATGTGCAATTCTCGACTACCTACAGACGCTACGCAATACATTTTATTCAATTAGTCATCAAAATATTATCAAGGATTATATGTTGACCTTTGAGTCATGACTTCTATTTCATTTTCATTGCAAAAATTATCCAGTAGATAAACATTGTATTATATTACTTTAATACGTTTATAAATTATTCATTTTTATATGAGTGACGTTCATAATATGGTTAGATTAGCTCGTTTTCTAAAACGCATTTTGATCACTGGTGCAAACATATCCCTGAATTAATAAAAAATTAAAAAATAAAGTAAATCTCACCTTTCATTCTCTCTTCTCTCATTTCAACGTTAGTTTCTTCACACGTGCTCTAAATATTTTTAAGAAATTAAATTTTCTTATTCCTATTATTTTCTGTCACTCAATTCTCATAGGTAATAACGAATCTGTAGCCTTTGTTTGAAGTTGACTGCAAGTGCTCCTCTAGGTGAATTGCAAATTCGTTTGTTCCTTCATTTCTAAAAAAGGAATAACTCTTCTAGACGAAAGTGCAATAGATACAATATACTGCATGCGAGCGATGTCTTTTTAATTTTGGGTAGATCCACTATTTGTCAAATGTAAAATGTATTTGGTATTACAGTCAATAGTGGACGAGCTGATGAGGCAAAAGAGCGGCAATGGGCCAGCGTCGCCCCGTTGTAAACGCGGAGGTCTCACGTACCTGCGCCGCGACGGTTCCAGCCAACTTATCACATCTTCATCCTCCAGCGATACTTTAAGTTCAGTTGTAAGTATATACTGCTTTTTAATCGTGTAAATTGTTAATCGATTTTATATTTTTGGGCGTAAGTAGGATGTTATAATTTCTTTTCTTGTTTTATTAACAAACCTATGCAAACTAGTTGATACCATACGTTCTTAGTTTTATTTTTCGTTTCAGAATTTTACAGGTAAAGGGGCGTCCATTAAATTTATTAGGTATTCTTGGACCCCCTCCATCCCCTCACTTACTAGTCTGTGGTCAAACAGTTGCACAGAGTAGAGATTGTTGCCAACAAATATTTACTGACAGGTCAACAAAATGAGCCGTACATTTTGTGTGATTTCAAATGTTCCTTTTTCAATAATCTGTAGAGAGGCAAAATACTAGAGTAACTTACCGGCGCGGCTGGGAACTCACCAAATGAAATCTGACATTTGTGTGGGATTTGTTTTAAATCAGGGAATCGCGGGCATTCATAAATTCATTAAAACCTTGTGTTCTCACCTGCCCTAAGTGTGCTTATTATCTCCCGCTAAGATCCGGCCGTCTGTGCTAGTCACTTGCGAGCACATGAACGGGCGGAGCAGCAAGACTAGATAAAGAAGTCAGAAACGGTCGCTGTAGCGCTGTAGTGTGTGATTTTAAATAAAAAATATTATTCATTAATTACGTAAGAATGGTTTTGGTGATTTTTTACCCCCCTACCCCCATGTAAGGATACGTAAGATTTGTCGAACCTCCCTCCCCTACCTCTTTTTACGTAAGACTTTATCTCGTTTATCTTCCATATAAATAAAATGATAGAGGTTTGCATTTGTGCGCGCATCACAGGCTATAAGTTTAAGAACGCCTGGTTTATATATATAACGGTTTGAAGGGGATTTTGGTATGTTAAACAGGGACTTGAAAACGAAATTAATTTCTTTTCGTTACACTAAATGTTATCTCACAACGTTTGTAACGATACTAAAACCTAAAATTATCAATAACGTTATAAAAAATAACGTTAAAGAAAATCTTTTTCGTAGAACAATATTTTTCGTTACGTTATAGTTATCGGTAACGTTATGCCTATATCCGATTATAATATCGTTACGGCTGAAACGTTACAAATTCACTTGTACACTGCACTACCGCTCTGTTATCGCACGTACGTACAAGCCACCGCCGCCGAATTCAAAGCATCACCATTAAGTTCGTTAAAGAGAGAGTGCGCATCGTATATTATATAAAATGTTATGTAAAGTATGTGTCATAATCTTTGACAGATTAATAACGATATTATGTCGTTATATCAATAATGATGTTATATCGTTATATCAATAATGATGTTATATCGTTATATCAATAACGATATATTTTTAATATAGTTGTAGATTTATTTCTATTTGTTAGTATCTTTTTAGCCAAGGAATTAATTATGTTACGATCCTAGTGGAACGAATTATCGTTACTGGAACTATTTTGAGTAACGTTTCAAGTAAAGTAAAGTTGCAGCCTATTTACGTCCCACTGCTGGGCACAGGCCTCCTCTCATTTCTGAGAGGATTTTAGGGCAAGGAAATGTCCGCCGCGCTGCCCCAATGCGTGTTGGCGAACTTCGCATGTCTTTGAAATATTTTTTTTCTTATTTCTCAGACATGCAGGTTTCCTCACGATGTTTTCCTTCACCGCTGAGCACGTGGTAAATCAGTACTTAAAATTGCAATTAACAATTTCATTGGTGCCGACGGGGATCGAACCCGGGTTGTTCGAGTACTATAAAGCTAACAGCGACCGCTAACCAGGTTCAAGTCCAAGTTCAAGTCCTTGGTTAAAATTGTGTAATTTTATGGATATGAAGTCTGTGCACGTGAAATTATATTAGTGTAAAAATGAAACTTGAATTTGATTCTTAATTGAGGATATCTATGTGCTCGTTTGTCACCTTGTATAAAAAAATGTAGGTGCAGGTTACAGAACGGTTAATGAAATGTATATACGTATAATTTTAGAACGGCGACTCCATTACATCGGGCAGCTCGCGAGAGATATTTTCCGTTCAAAAACTGACTCAGAAGTTCGCTTCGGTTGCATTTAAGAGCGGAAAGGATTGCGTGGAGAATAACGCGTTTGAAGCGATAGGAGATGAAGAACTATGAACTGGTCTCGAAATAACCTTGTAATCTCGTCATTATGTAAAGAACTCACGTTGCCAATGATACAACAGGTGTAAAATTTTAGAATATTCGAATATATTTGTACAGTCGTGTACTTTATTATGTATATATTAAGTTTTGGATAAGTTTAATGGCTATGAATCTTTTTTAAAGATTTATTTTTACATTACTGCCATCCACTTGCCATGAATTATGAAATGTTAGCCATTCCTAAATTCTAAAAAAGGTATTATTTAAACATGTCCAAATATAACAGTGAATTAATGTTTATATTGAAATGAAAGTTTTGTATATGTCAAAGATGTTTTATAGGTCCAGATACCGTGTTGCTAACACACCGCAACGTTCATAATGAAGAAAGTCTTTGATTCATGTGTGCGTGAGTACCACGTGACGCGCATATCTTACGCACCATGGCTGCATTAATGTGCGTGACTTCGGTAATAACAGTGCGAATCGATTACCCAAAAAATGTGGGAGATTTTATATTTCATTCCTATTGACGTACCTATTGATTCTAAGAGTATAAAATGTGTGTGCATTTGTGTGTGTGTGTGTGTGTGTGTGTGTGTGTGTGTGTGTGTGTGTGTGTGTGTGTGTGTGTGTGTGTGTGTGTGTGTATGGGGATATGGTTGCTTATGTGTGTTTTATGTAGGTACGACCATCGCACTAAAATATTGAAGATATGTAAAAAAAACCTATAATTAATGTAACAGTTAAAATAAATAAAAAAGCACAGTAGATATTTATGTATGTAACATATATTTATAATCTATTATTACTAAACATATACAAAGTACTACACTTTTGTACTGTAGAACACAAAATATTGACACTTTTTACGAAGACATTAAATTATTTTTCAATCCTAAGTAAAATGACGAAAAAAAGTAAGTTTGGTTAAGCGTAAACTTCAGCCAAGAGATAGCAAAATGTTTATTTTTTTAAATTGCTCCGTTCCGTTGCTTCGTGAAGGAAGGACAAAAACAAATAAACAAAAAAATCCCACTTTCACATTTATAATATTATATTAGTATGAATTGTCAAGAATGATAGATAAACTTTTAAAACCGGTTTACAATCGGATTTTTGAGGGTGGAACTATACCGGTTACATTATAACGGTTCTGAGTGACCAAAAAGGATAGAAGCACAGGAAAGTGCAATTTCATGCTGCCAGATGTAGTTCGACCCTAACCCTTAAAACGGTTTAACTCTATAGGTTGGGTAAAATCTGTAAAATTAGACTGTTTAAAACCCCTATACAGATAACCTTTGTGGTTGATCATGACATTAAAAAATAGTAAAAACATTTCATAGACTAGGCAACACTCGAATATTATTGCGCAGTATTATTACTTGTATTGACATTTAGCTTTCGTATTCTTTTACAAAGAAATACACCATAAAATTGTATAGTTACTTATGAAAAGTGATGTTCTTATCCTTATCTTTTTTCCAAGAGTAATTTTAAATGATTTCACAGCACAAACAGTCATTTTGCGAAATTAAAAACACCGCTGCGTGACGTATGTTCACAGCGAACGTCGCTGGCGTAATGGCGGAACGATCGAACGAATACGCCAATATTGGCGCCTTTGAAATGGAAGCGTTTTAGTTGCGCGTACACGGTATCTGGACCTATAAAATATCTTTGGTATATGTATGTTATGAAAAATTAAATCTTTCTCTGAGGTATTTTATAAAAAAAAAAATCAGTAACTAATTAGTTACATACAATATTTTACATACTATACGTATTTGTAGTAGGCCTAATATTAAGTGATTATAGATTTGTTACCTGTCGTTTTAGATTACTGTTTAATAACTTTAAAGTATGCTATGAGTTGTTGGCGTACAATGAAAGTTTTATTATACAATTGTAAAGTCCAAGAAACTCAAAACATTACTTATCAATATTTTACTATTTGCTTGATAAAATTAGTGGTCATTGAAACAAAGAAAATAAATGTTTGCCCTACTTAGTCGAGCCCTTGTAACAAAATTATTTATTAAATAAGATTGACGGAGCGCCGCGGGTAGATGGTATTATTTTGCTATTCCTTTTCACTGATTAGTTTTACATGTGCGCGCTACATCTCATCTAATTTTATTATTTTGGTCAAAAATCCAGCCATTATAAGAATACCAAATGGTCGATCATATTTTTACTTATTATTATGATTATGTATGAATGTTTTATGTATGAAATGTTTGTAGTCTGTTCGCTAAGATAGAATCGGTACACCTGGAGGTGCACTTATTATTTTCCTTTTATTTTGTTGTTTTTTTTTTACTGTGTTTGTTACATAAATGTTTTTCTATTCTAAGAATAAAAAAGAATACTATTTTATTCTTATGGTTATTGTGATAAAAAAATGAACATAAATAATAAAACAAGTTGGTAGCAAAGAACCTTTCACTACGGCGCTTCGTTTTAAAATGCCAAATTTTCCTTCGGGTGTACGCCACACGCGGCCGCCCAGATTGTATGGCGACCTTTGATGTCGCGGCGGCACCTTTGACAAAATGCGGCACGTGCCAAGGCGGCGCGACACAAAGGCGAACGTATCTAAGCGAACAGACTATATTTCGTGCCATTGTTAGTTTGTTGTTGAAATTCTAAAAATAATTAATGACTTTTATCGAATTTTGTCTTTTTCTTGTAAATATTTAAATAAGTATTTTTGTTATCGAATATTTTTTTTAATCGTAATTAAAGTTGTAATCATTATGTAAGAGAAATATAATTTTAGGGTAGTATTAAAAACTAAGTTGAAATTAATAATTCATGTAGATTTCAGTCATTACACATTTTCTAGGTGTAAATAAATTTCATGCATATTAATTCCTAAGCTTTCAGTAGTAAGACAATTTAATACGAAAAATCAGAATCATTCTGAATAATCATTACCACAAGAGATTTTTGTATTTGAATTTTGAGGAAACATTTTATTGTTTACAGAGAAAGTCATTAACAATTAATATAAGACTGGAACAAGTAGACTGCATTGCTTGAATAGCAATGAATAAAAGGTTTGCTTCCTTTTTTCAAAATTTAAATTTATATAATGTACATACCTATTAGAATTTATTGGTTAAGCCACATTTTCGAATTTTGTATAAGTATAATTTTTATATAAGCGCTATGGAATATACAATGTAATTATTATAGATAAATGATAACTTTCTTGTTTATTTCAATTTTCTAATATTTTTTATGTACTAGCTGATCGATTTCCTATTATTCTCAAAGTTTTTAATAATAATTATATGACCCCAAAGTCATAGTCGATAGTTAAAGCTACTTTGTCACATTATTAAAATGCGTACACGTGTTTGTTAAACAATTCTATAATGTGCCAACTTTTTTCAGTCATAGCGACCGTGAACAAATTATAAACGTACTGGTCCTATAAGAAAAACCTAATATGTAAAATTAGAAAAGGGTAAGAAAAAATTTGGGGCGATAAGGAGTTGCATGTTTAGATTTGGAAAATTTAGCTCGTCTGTTGTTTTAGAATCTAAAGAATAACTTTCTAAAAGAAAATTATGCAAAGATTCGACTTTTGTATTTATACTACCCCGCTGAAATTGTGTAAATAAGTATATGTAGTGGAAAATGTACATATATTCAACGTTTTAGATGTGAAACAAAAATATCTGTGTGTGTACATTTTTACTATTTTACAATTAATAAAATAAGTAGGTAACTAAAAGGTTATTAAGTACGTAAATAATTTATTTATAGTCCATCTCAGGAAGCAACTTGTTGATGTTTATTTATTTGAATTTTCTATTGTTCAAGATGAATCAAATCTACATTTGTTTTTCCTTTTTTATGAATTAAATATAAATATTTATTCGGAAAGTTTCCATCCATTGAATGTTGTACCATAAAATAATTACTGCAAATTATTATACCTTTATTGACATATTTTTATGGGACCACTTTAACAATGTATGTTTGTGTATTTTGTTAATGATATTTTTAATATTATTCCTTATTGTTTATTGGGTTTATAAATAAACTTCTATTTTTTTTTCTGATAATTCAGAATGTTTTACATTGTGATGTGAATTATAGAAATACAAGCACCAATTTTTTAAATAACTAGTAAAATCATTTTTCAAAAGCTCTATGTATTTTTTTTTCTAATGCAAGTTAAACAATTGAAAATCAAAAACAACGATCGTCCATAGTCTATGGCAATTGCTACCCGATACCTAGTTACGTATTCGATTTGCGATAAAAAATTGATATTTTAGAGATTTTTCAAAAAAATGTTGTTAGAGTGAACGGCTTTTTTGACAAGTTGTTATAAGACAAGTCCACTGCTGCACATTTTTTTTATATGATAAGGGTGACAAACGAACACATAGTCCACCTGATCGTAAGTGGGTGCTGTGGCCCATAGATATCTACATTTATCCTCGATTACGAATCAAAATGCAGATGCGTTGTCATCCGTGAGGACTAAGATGGAATGCCTCGTTTCCAGTAAAAAGGGTCTCCGGTTCTCTACACTCACCATACGAAACACAGCAGCATAATTTTTTTTTCTTATTATAAGCCAGTGCTTGACCACAATCCCGCCTGGTGGTAAGTGGTGATGCAGCCTTAGATGGTAAATCGCACTGTCTTATCGTAACAAAAGCCTCACTCTCGTCTTGAAGACGCCCAGATTGTATTCGGACGGAAAGATTGACGCTGGCAAATTATTCCACTCCTTTGCTGTACGCATTACAAAAGACGAAGCAAACCGTTTGGTTCTAATGCGCGGAATATCGACAACAAAGGGATGAAGACCCGCCGACCGCCTGGTTGTCCGATGGTGGAAAGGAGAGGGAGGAATTAAAGTGTGTAATTCCTGCGCACACACCGAAATGCATCCTATAGAATACCGAGAGACTGGCTGCTCTGCGCCTGCGCTTGAGGCTGACAAGATTGGTTTCAACCAAATCAAGGTCACCAATGAGCCT